GGTGGCCGGTGTGCCTTCCTCCCTTTCTCCTCCTCCTCCTTCGTCTCCCACTGCTGCAGCTGTCGCTGAGGGGGGTGGTTGTGTGGGAGACTGGGTTTAGGGTTTAAGGGGGGGTGCGTGGGAGTGGAGCTAGCGGTGTAGCAGTGGGTGTGTATGAGGGGGGTGGGATTGTGTGTGGGAGGTTGAGCGGAGGTTGCCAGTTTGTCGTCCGCAGCACCTGTAGTCCGGGGCGCTGTCCCGGTAGCCCAGTGAGCTTGTCGCTGAGCCGGTCGCCTGTGGGTCCGTTGCCCGTCTGCCGCTACTTGAGCCGCAGGGCCTGTTACTCCCGTAGTCCGGGGCGCTGTCCCGGTAGCCACTGTGCTCGCCACTCCTGTTGCCCGTGTGTCTGCAGCTTCAGCCGCCGCCTTCTATCTCCTCTCCTCTCACTCTCCCTCCTCCTCCTCACTTGCCCATTGTGACCACTGCTAGCTTTGCTCATAATTGTGAACTTTGAACTATTTCTTCTTGACCTTGTGCTCAGAATGCGTGGTGACATTGTGATCCACCCTGAGCTTGTACTGTTTTGCCTGCTCTGCTGATTACACCCCACTTTGGCTATGGGGGTGTGTCAGAATATTATTCTTATGTTCTAGCCTGTAGTGGGGTGCTCTATAGCGAGTACAACCCTTCTAGGGTTTGCTATCTGTATCCCCATTTCTGCTAGTTCATTCCTCTTTCTTTTCTTCTAATTTTGTCACCACATCCCGAGATTATGTCTCCTGAGTGAGGTGCCGAAATCCTGGACCCATCGGACCGATGTCTCTCCTCCTGCACACCAGATAAACGTCCCACACCTTTCATGGCCATCTGAAACACACCCAGTCGGCACGCCAACGATCCTCACCTCATATCCCATCGCCCGTGCCTCGGCCATTAGAACGACTCTGTAGTCAAATGTCGGTAACTCCAGCCGTATGACATCCTCGAGGCTTGTTGCGCTGTGATTTACGAGTCTGTAATCCGCTATTGACGTCATAAACCGGCGACCTTTGGCACGTGTAATGCTCGACTCCGACTCGTCCGGATACGTGGCGTATATGAGCCTCAGATACATGAACGGTGTGGGTGCGTCGGGTGTTATTGCAAGAGACGCACGCGCTTCTGAAATCGCGCGCGCCCTGTGCTGTCTAGGACTGCGCCTTCCACTACCCAGGAATGGGTCCAGAGACCTAAGAATCGTGGCCGCGCTAAGGGTCTGACCTCGTTGTGACATTATGGCACCCTGCACCTGCATTATGGCGTAGGCTATAGTGGGCTTAGACCGTATGAAATAACCCCGGGTGTTGCGCCGACGAGGCTCCAGCACGTCGCGCGCTTTACTACACGTTGCGCTCATCATGCCACTACCAACTGAAATCGGTAACATTAGGCGGACGTTAGGGTTTTGTAAGTGTCCGTCCTACCGAAATCGAGCTACGGGCTGGTGGGACGATTGGAAGCGGTGTGGAATGGTTTGTGGATTGTTGGCACGCTTTCATGGTCAACAGGGTATACCGAGCACAAAGTGCAAAATTACTTCGCGCGTTCTTCAGTATGTGCCATATCGGGGAGGTGAACATTTTACTCGCTCTCGGATTGAGCGTGGAATGTGCTATATCCCCAACGTGAACAATCTCGTTACGTACACAATGATTGACAATGTGCGTATTATTCGACAAATACAACGGTTCCGGAGATCAATAGGGCTCATCAGTTACTACATCCCATACTCAATATCCCCATGCACGCTAGACATGGATGCCGTTGGGGAGTTGAAGCATATCTCCTCGCTGGCCGTGGAAGACATGGACGAGGAAGGCGCGTATGAATGCCTCCTAACCTTCTTCTCTGGTGTGCGCAGCAGACGGTCAACGAGGTCCGGGTTCCCCAAGCGCTTAAGCGTGACGACAACACTCGGAGCTACTCCCGTCGCGCTAGCAAGCCTTGTGTACGCATCAGATGCCATACGCATGAACCGGCGGCGAGTCCAGTCGTCCCATTTGACGCGGCCGACACAGCTTGAATCATCAATCCGACGGATGACCGGCTCTGGAAAACGTTCGGCCGTATCCTCGTCCATGGTGTCATCCCAAGTTGCGTAGTCCAATGCATCCATCACGCAGTCGGGGATGTCCAACTGGTCCAGCCTCCTCTGCAGGCCCTGTGAGGCTAACGACGAGCTGCTCCACAACCTCGACATGCATGTCGCGGTTGATCGCCTGAAGCCGAGGCAGCCACTCGTCCGGGACGCACCCAGTGCGCCAAAACGCGAGCTGAATGTGAGATGTCGCCACCCCCCACAGTGCCTGGAATGTCCACTGCAACGTGTTCGCGGCCGATGGAGAGTTGCTGGTCCACACCCAAGCTGGAGGCACGCGCCTCATGAAGCAAGTCTGGTGGTCCACCCACATTGTGCGGAATTCGGACCTGAAGAATGTGACAATGCCCTGCACGACGGGGTTCCCCACGTCTGGTACAACATCATGAAGCTGCACAATGCGAGTATGGGTTAGGTGGTGCACCATGAAGGGCCCACTCGACTCTCGCTTGCCCTCTCCCCAAGTGAGCTTGTGCCTCCGCGAGGACACAAGGACGACGATGTCACGGTCCTCTGCAAATTTCGCAGCGTTGAGGCCTAGCATGAACTGCGTGAAAAGCTGCACGTAACAACAAAGAGAATCACAGTGACATATTTTTAGCACCACCGTATTGAGTCCATATATAGGAGACAATCGCACTAGTCATTTCTAGTACAATTGGCCATTACCTGGGGGGTTATGCGGCCGGACCGAGTACGGCGTATATATGCCCACTGGTCGCCGCTGACATCGTGGCCCAACCTCAGTGGCTCCCGGTCGGCGCTCACAACAATGGGCCTGAAGCGATGCGCGCCGTCTGCGGAATAGAGAAGGCCGATAGACAGCCTCTTCATATCATTCCCATTGCGACCGACGAACGGATGCAGGTATGGCTGCAGAGCAGGTAGGAGAGAAACCTCTACAAATATGTAGACGTCGCTGGGAGGTGCGCCAAGGCGAGACAAGAGATCCTTTAGAGCGGCCATGGAAGTAAAGTGGCGTCTGCTACAAATGGCGGCATATGATATAACCTGTAGGATTGGCGAGTACAGCGTCCAATGTACCTGCTATTTGACAATGAGTGAGTCTAGCAGTGAGAAAAACGTCGGCGCAAGCTGGCCACTCCCTCTTTGCCCTGACAGGCGTGCATTGGCCACAGAAGCTACTGATTGCGCAATGACGTGGGTACACCTCATAGGCTACCACGGTTGTGCACTCTTTAAACCACATGTTTGTGTTTTGAAACCTAATCTGTTAGTGACATCTCCGTACCCTGTACAGTATATGCCCGGGTCAGTTGGGGTTCCGAGATAGTGTGCGCATGAATGCGTACGTTCGTATATTGTTACAATGCATGGTATAGTTATACTGTTTAGGAACTATCTCGCCGCATCGCCCTGAACATCAATATACATCATTTAATTTGGATGCTGCACTCGTCGTCGATTCGTTCAGTGTTCGACAATAGTTCAATGGTGTAACTGAAACGAAGTCGAAATATACCCATCCGCGTCAAGGTGAGAGGCCGAAATGTTACGTCGATGTTAATCGCATTTGGTTATGTTCATAACGGGACATTACTCGTCCCGATAATGGCTGCACAATTGAGTTTATAAAGGTTCCGCGTAGTATCGCCGGTGCATGCTGACGAGGGTACAGTAATCTCGACTCAATTGCACTGTGACAAGTGTCGAATATGGCTGGAAACCGCTGCCTATCACGAACCGCCATGGTGGTATCCACTTTCTTCAATCTCCTCTGTCCCTGAGTCTCCGTCGTCCTGAGCAAATCAGATGTTTCATCCCCGAAGATGCCTGGTGGAGTGTATAAACGCAACAATCGCACTACAAGCCCGACAGTTTAGTTCTTGCAACACTAGGGTTTCGGCCGTTCCTCATGAACTCGCCATGGTACCGCGAACCAAAGCCCAGGCCTCTAAACGAGGCCTCCACAGTCCACAAGCCATGACATCGTGTAGGCCACCGGCAGCGCCGCGGCGGGATAACACCACGATCCCAGAATCGATGAGCAACAAGCGGCTGCGCTCGCGTGAACTCCAGCAGGGGGATACGAATACCGAGGCCGCAGTGGCCGCGTCGGTTTCAGCATGGGGCTCGCGGCTGCCATGCGTCAAAGATGAGCCCGCGCCGAATGACGCGCTGACTGCTCTACTGAACGCACCATCTTCAACGACCTTTAAGACGGTGTCTCTGTATAACCACATGGGTGTGGGCTGTCAAGTGACTGCGCACGACGCATTGACGCTCGCCGACAAGGAATATCTGGGGGACGCGGTCGTCGATTTCCATAACATGTACGTTTTTGGATGGCGATACTCCTCTAGGTTGCTGTGTCGCCACCTACGGTATGCCGACTTTAACGTATAAAGATTTATCGTGCGTTATCCCTTCGTACACCCGTGCAGCCTCCTGAACATCAGGTACCCAAGGTGTCCGAACGGGAAATCATGGGTGGTCCTTGACAGCAAGGCGTATGTGTATGCCAAGCTTCACAAGAAGCCGATTGGGAGGTGCACGGGCCCGTCTGTGTTCGAGTACGATTACATCGCCGTCCCGGTATATGCCGGGTAAGTACGTCTTTTGCAAGCCTGCTGTAATAAGCTCGTCTGTCGCCCCAGCCTAACAAAGGCCCCTCAATTGTGCAGGAAACACTACTCTTTGATGGTGGTAACCAACCCAAGCAGGATTGTTAAGCCAGACGGCCGCACCTGTGGAGTTCATTCTGTTCGACAGTGACGGCCTCCACGCCAAGACTACTGATGTCCTTTGACGGGACTAAAGCGTGAGACTCGCTATATATCACCGTGCAACCCCCTTTCAGCGGTGACGTCCTGCGACCTCATCTGACCTGTTGGCTATATCGTCGTGCAGGTTATTGCACCTCATGTGCAAACGCGATCATCCGGAGGTGGACCAGGAGGCGTCTAGGCAAGCGCTCATCAAGGCAGAAACGATAATCATGGAGGTGAGATGCTGCAAAGACAGTATGGCTCATTCTATCCCACTTGCTTTCTAATACGGGAGCGCGTTCTGATGAACGGAAACATGGTGTCTCGATGGTGCGCAGGGTCACCACATCCCGAAACAACCTAACAGCTGGGACTGTGGAGTATACATTTGCCAGTATCTCGAAGCACTGGCGACATCTGGGTTCATAACCGTGAGAGAGTACATATCGTTCAAGGGGGTGAGCGCTGAGAGGTACCGCCACAAGATGCGTGGGGATCTTTGTTCTCATGCCGAGGGAACGCTGATTCCCGAGCTGTAGCGCCAGGGTCTCCGCATACCTCTGCAGCCTGTTCCCGTTATCGACGACAACGGATACATCTGCGTCGACCCTCCCGTGGACATCCGAAGAGAGCTGCTAGACCACAAGGAGAAGTTCGCTGTGATTGAGCACGACATACAAGTTCTGACGGCCAAGATCGAGTATCTGGCCATCCGCAAAGGCGTGACGTTGGACGAGCTGGACGCAGGGGCGCGCCAACACCTTGGTGCCGTGGTGGACACTGCTGGTAGAGTCGGCGACTCCACGCAAGCACGCTAAAGCAGACCCTACCGCGAACAGAAGTGGCCCAATGGAAGTCGCGCAGACTCCACCGAAGCGTGCACTGGCGGCAGTGCCATCAATCTCTCCCTGTCTTGCACCTCACACACCTGGCGTGAAAGATAGCCAAGTTACTGCCGGAGACGCGACACCTGCTGTGGTCAGGCAACAACAGCGCGACCAGCTTGCAGTGGCTTTGCGCAGTCGCGCTAAGACTCCCGTGCCCGCAGCTCCAGGTAACCCCGGGCGGGTCGCAAGCAGCGGCCGGGTGGGAGTTATGTGGAACGCAGAGAAGCAGAGGTACTACGTCCGGATCATATCTGCTCGCCGTCAGCAGGTTTCGTCTGGGGTCGTACGAGGACAAGGACGAGGCGTCATACGCGTATGCTGCGGCAGCCGTTGTACTTCGCCCGAACTCACGCATCAGCTGCACAGTTGAGCTGTCCGACGCTGACAGGCAGGCTTTAGCCGGTTGCACAGAGGAGATCCTAAGGCTACTCGTGAAGTACAGGCGCTGGAACAGATGGAGGGAGTGGCGTGCCGCAATGGCTGGCCTGGACGACGCGCAGGCGGTCGAGACCCGTTCGCGGCGAAAGGGCAGAGCGTCCCGGGCCAGTAGTGACGTTGAGGAGGTGCAGGCGATCACGCCGACTACAGAGGACCAGCCTATGGCTGAAGAGCCAGAGGACCGAACAGAGGACTACACGGATGACGACGAGTCTGTTGACGATGATGCTGTGTATGAACCTGGATCCGATACTTTCGGCGAAGATGATGGATGGGAGGATGTCAACCGTGCAGAGGGTGTTGCATGAAGCACTAAACAGGGTGGCCATTGGACCCAGGGTTGTTCTAGTTGTGTGCTCATACTGATAGGACTTAGACCTGGTGGCGGGTAGCCGAATCTGGAAATGTAAGCATCGCAGCGACCACGTTATTGAAGTGTCTATATCCAGGAGATGTAAATATATGACAAAGAACGCTTAAACGATGCACATCTTGAAACTGTAACAACGGTTGGGGTTAGTAGCAAATGGTGAAAAAAGCGGGTGTATAATTGGAGTAACGCATGTGACAGAAACGTGGACGAGCATCGACGATGTGACAAACCTGGCACGGCGACATGTTACATGTGGAAAGTGTGGCTGACATTTGTCTGTAATCAAACTGGCCACTCTAACCGTGACATGTGTAGAATTGTGCGCGTGGCCAAGAGCGTGAGGCAACTAGTGCGGTGACAAACTCCGTTATCGAGCATTGCGATGTACAAGAGAGTGGTAAGGGGACTGTTGCGAGCGAGGGTAGAACCCCGGGGTGGTTTAGAGCTACGCCATTTCCAACCCGCTGTGTATGCGGTCTCAGATGCTGTCTCCGCTAGAGGTCGATATGACTCCCACCGACGGCGGTCGTTCCAAGCGGGCAAAGACTGCGCCGTCATGGTTAGCTGATTCATATGAATACGGGGAGCGGAAGAAGAAAGGACGACCCCTAGCGGAACCCAAGAGGCGTAAAACAAGCACAGGAAAATGTGGCGCGGCGGATGAGAACGCGGGGCATGACGAAGGTAACATTTGTGACGTGACAAGTGCGTTGCATTTCATGTATCAGTGCTAATGCTTGTCTGTGGTGATATATGCCGTATGCACACGCAATCTACACACCCTTCTACCTACCACGCAACTGGTCACAGAGACTCGAGAAGTGCGGCTGCAGATATGCAGCGCCAACGCTGTCGGGGCCGTCGACGCGGAGGCAACCTGCACGCCCATTGTCGCCAACGCACCGCAAGGGGAGGAGGACACGGAGGCCGTGAAGGAACGCCTGATAGACGAGTTAATGGAAGGCAAAGATGAGGACGACGAGGAAGGAAACGGTAGTGGTCAGTCGTCAAGCAACGATCCGTGTGGCGAGAACGGATCAGAGGAGGAGCAGGCCACAAAAGCGCCACATTCGAGGAAGCGGATAGATGCAGCCGATGGCCAAGTCACACGCGAGGAATTTGATGCGTTGCGTGATTCCCAGAATGATACCGCGAAGATACTGGCTCGTCTTGAGTCACACGTACTGACCATCATCCGCCTTGGCGAACGGCGTAAGCGCAAGCGGGCGTCCACAAGTGCCGCAGCTTCGCTCGGCCGAGAAGCTTTGAAGCGGAAACGCCAGTCAGATGATGACGAAGAATCAACGTGCGATGAGGACGACTTGCCGGCGAAAGTGGCACGGCACGCGCGTCACGACAAGTCGCCAGTGCTCCAAACCGCCCTTGACATCCTTCCAGCCGAGAAGGCTTGGAAGGTGAGGCCTCGCATAGTGTGTTCTGCTCACGTCGAGGCACAGTTGTTGGATACACTACATATCTCGTCACCGTTTCCCCCCCCCATAACTATTTTCAATGTCGCAGGGTGTTTGCGACATGGTTAAGGATTATCTGTTTGTAGAAGCCCCGAACGAGAAGATGGATTTCTACCCGAGTCGCGACGCCAAAAACGCGGGCCTATGCCATGTCGTGTCCACCATTTCTCCCAAAACTGCGACTCTGGCGTTAGACGCTGATAAGGCTCGACGGCAGGATCTGAACAAGATCTTGTCCGCGTACAAAACAGGGTTGGCTGGACGCGCTCGCGGAGTTTTTCTTCCACGAATTGGTCTTTTCCGTGACGACGAGGACAGGGCCAGTCCTTGGGCACGTAAGACGGAGCGCACTGGGGAGCGTGCATGAAAGAGATATTGCGTCCCCGTCCCAGACGATGGTGCGTGTTCGCTTGTCATATGGCCGGAGCGATTATGGCCGCAACTCCTGTTTCGTGCCATAGTGGACCAGACATGTCTTTGAACCCTCCCCTTTTTCCGTACGCGGTATCGTTGTACCCCTTTTGCATTCCACGTGCGCAGGGGACCCAACCTTGTGCAAGTGGCACATCAGCAAGGATGGACTGCCATTTGCATCCGGAGCGTTCGCGGCATGTGCCATCGCGGCTTTCGGAGGGAAGCGGAAGGACAAAGAAACAACAAAAAAGTTGTACCACCTGTCGTGGCTCGAGCACATTGTACGTTTACACCGATGTGAACATATGTTGTAGCCACTTTCCTTCAACTCGCCGTTGTAAATGGGCTTCTCCTGCGGTCGCAGATCACGGACGCCATTGTCAACTGGGAGAAGCGCAAGGGGAAACTGCACAACTCTCCGTGCGAGAATGGCGCTTCTGTGCGGAGGATTCAGAAGCTGGCCTTCGATGCCATTGCGGATGCAGTATGCCGGAATGAAGTGCCCTACGACGAGGGGAAGAAGTCCTGGAAGTGGGGCAGGCATGGGCTCCGCCTTTCATCTTGCGGCCTGGAATGCCTCCTGGAAGATGAAGCAGCCTCCGAAGACGAAAAACATGAGTCCTCCGCGTCGGAGGCATCGGATAGTGAAAGAGATGGTTGACTTCCTGATTGTGTGTTTAATCCAATTGTGTGTCGTAGACTAGTGTAGTGGTTTAGTGGGGACAGGTTGTGGTTGTTGTTGGTTCTATGCATTTGTGCAGTAAATCGGTGACATGTATGTTCGATATTGCACACCTAGCGGAGACATTGCGCATGTTGGACACGAGGACGGTTGAAACGCAACTCTCAGCATTCCGCGCAGTACGGCGACAAATGCGGCGCTAATCGCGGCGACAAATGCGGCGGGGTAAATAGGAGCCGTTAGATGTAACGCTATTCTAGAGACGTGGATATAGGGCAACCGTACAATCTGCCGGACCGCTCATCAATGAACCGCGGCTTTTTTGTTTGCCCGACGACGGTGTCTAATGGCTATTTGCCACGTGTGTGATGGATATGGTCACTGGTGTGTTATCGTGAGATCTGCGACGAGTACGTGTGAACGTGCGATTGGTATCAGTAGTCCTAGTTGGAAGACCCTATCACCGAACGGATGGCGTGTGTAGGTACAGGTGGATTCCACTACAAATCGTGGGATGACATTTGTATCGGACGGACGGTAGATATGAGGCGTATGGGCGTGAGATCTGGAGGTTGATGGCGTATCCGGTGCGGCCATGTGCCGTGCTGCGGTTGGCATAGCGGAGTTGGCACGCGACAATCGCGTGCGTACAACTGTGGCCATCTCGACCGTACATGCAGCACGATACAATTCGTTATGGTTTGGCATCCACCTGTCATAAAGCGTGAGTACACGTGCAAATATTATGCTGACGTGGAATAGTGACTTCATGTATGCTAATCAGCAGCTATGTGGCAACACACAGGTGTAACCGTAGAGTGTCCGCATGGTGACGCAAATGTCACTGGCAACTACATGACGTAGAAGCGACCCATATGACGCCGTGCGTGTTGCGGCCATGTTGCCGGAAACGCTGCCAAAAAGCTGCGGGAAAGTTGCGGGAAAACCACTTTCCCTGTAACCCTGACCCAGAAGCCTTTGACCTAGACTTTTTTTTTGCGAAACAAGAGTTGCGGAAAAGCAATTTTGAAGCTGCGGAGAAGCAACTTTATGTGCTTGGTTTTTTCGCGATGCTGCGCGTCGAGAATGTCTTTCGCGTATTCCTTCTCGTCGTTCTCCGCCTCGCCGGCATTCATTTCAAGCTCGTCGTCAAAATCCTGCTCATCGCGCACCGTCTGCTTGAGCTTGATTGTGTCCTGGCGCGCCTTCTCGCCCTTTGCCTTGGTATCATCGAGCTTCTTTTTTTGGTTATCGAGATCCGTTTGTGCGGCGGTCAGATCGGCGTCGGCGTCGTCAACGGCCTTCTTCGCCGCGTTTTCCGCCTTGAGCTTGTCGTTGTATTCCACCTGCGCCGCTTGCGCCAGCACGTCCGCGTCGTTCGCGGCCTTCCTGGCGGCTTTGAGCGCGAATCGCCAAGTAAGACTGCGCGTCGGCAGCCGAGAAGGTCGACACAGCCATCGCCGACAGGAGCACGATGGCCCAGAACGAAACGTTGAACTGACTCATGGCTGCGACTGAAATTGCAAAGCCTGATGAACTGAGAGAAAGTGTGATGACAAGGTATTGCGTCAGTACGTGGCAGTTGTACGAGCGGAGACAACAGCTCAGGGGACTGACGTTTGAAGTGAGGTGGGAATAGTGGGAGGTTTGGGCTGTCGAGAGCTGGAGATTGTTGTGGTATTTGTCCTTTACGCTCTGCCATTTATATGGGCCTGCTTGTATGTACGGTCGACTTGCTTGGTTATCTTCCTCACACGAGCTGATAAGCATCAAGAGCGGCAGCACGCCTTTCTCCCACATGCTGCATATGGGAATTTGTTGCGAAGGGGAGTGTGCGGGACTGTGCGGAAAAGGTGGGTGGCCATCATTCCATGCAAAATGTAACATGTTTGCTGGGATTCTGCTGGTGAAGAAGATTCGAACGAATAGATTGCGAAAATATTTTACTGTCGCTAAATTTCGGATGTTGCAAATGTTTCGAAAAATGAGGGCCTATTCCTGCACTTCGGGTCATCAGCACCATCCGAGATTGTGGGATCCAATCGGAAAATCGGAATGCACCCCAATCTCTTGATTCAAATTTCCGATTTGATCCCACAATTTCGGATGGCCCGAAGTACTGATGACCCGAAGTGCAGGAATACGCCCTAAAAGCTTGTCACCGACATCTTATGGCCTGACTTTGCCAATGAAAAGTGTCAGATGATTATATTACTAATGCATATATTTAGGCTGTAATGGGGTAGCCCATAGGGGGTACAACCCAATTAGGGTTGGTACTTGTACTTGTTTCATTTCATAGTGCACTCATTCCTCGCCTCTATCTCAACATGGTATCGAGCAGGTTCCCTAGTGGGAACTGTTCCT